CAAAGGGGCCACGCGACCTCTCAGGCTCAGCCTCGGGCGACGGGGCCACCCCTGCTCTCGCGGCTCACCGACCATCCCAACCTACCAGACCAACCAGCAGCGCGGCGCCTCCGAATTTGCACCACAGCGCGGCATCTTGCGACCCAGTGGGAGAAACGGTCACGCTCTACGGCCCCCTTCCCCCGCCGCCGCGCGTCACCCTCCTGCGCGGGCAATGCCTGCGGCCCCGGCGCCGACGCCTGGCTGGCTGCCGGCCACCGACCCCGACCATTTCTTCCAGCAACTGGCCGATCATGGTGGCCTTGGTCCTCCTCCTACCGGCAGCGCGGCGCCCTTGGCCTTCCCCCCGCGGCGGCCCCTTGCTCGCCTCGCTGGTCATCCTTCGCAAGGAGGGCCCCGGCCGTTTCAGGCGCGCCCCGCATCTTCCGAAGCTCCTTCCCCGCTCGGGCTCAGGCCGGACGCAGGGGGATCGCGCCCGTCGCGCGCAGGGCCTGGCGCGCCGCTCAGACGGCCGTGCTGGCCCTCCTCCCATCGCTGGGACAAGCCGCTCAGGCCCGAACTCAGCCCTCGGCAGACCGCTCGTCGCGGCTCGAGCGACAACGCGAGCATGTCCAGTCCCTTTCCGACCATCTCCGCCGCGCGACGCGACATCACCGCGCTGCGCCGCGCGACTTTCAGACCGCCGTCCAATGTCAGGCCGCGCTCGCCGCTTCAGCGACTAATGCGTCGGCTTCCGTCGCAGCCGCCCTCCGCGCGGCCCAAACGCTTTTCGCTAGAAGCGCCAGTGAACCTCTTTCGAGGCCCGCGCGCCGCCCGGCAAGCGCCCGCCATGGCCTTCCCACTGCGGGTCCTGAAGGAGTGCTGGACGGACGCCGCCACTTCCAGCGAAGTGCCGTCATGCCAAAGACGGGCGCAGGCTTCGCTCAACCCTACAGGTGAGACTCGGACGGCTGCGAGGCACTGTCGCAGCACACCTTGCTCGCGGGGGTGGGGGCGGGCCTCGCCCCCCCCCCCCCCCCGGCTGTCCGCCCGAGACGGGCGCGAAGGGCCCCTTTAGCCGACTCGCGCCTGCCAAGGCGCGGGCGGGCGCACCGGGCGCCCAGATGACTCGTCGCCCAGCTGGTCCTCTCTCTCTCTCTCTCTCTCTCTCTCTCTCTCTCTCTCTCTCTCTCTCTCTCTCTCTCTCTCTCTCTCTCTCTCTCTCTCTCTCTCTCTCTTCTCTCTCTCTCTCTCTCTCTCTCTCTCTCTCTCTCTCTCTCTCTCTCTCTCTCTCTCTCTCTCTCTCTCTCTCTCTCTCTCTCTCTCTCTCTCTCTCTCTCTCTCTCTCTCTCTCTCTCTCTCTCTCTCTCTCTCTCTCTCTCTCTCTCTCTCTCTCTCCTCTGTCTTTTTCCCAACCATCCTGCGGTGTTGGGCCTTCGTTTTGAAGAGACGGTGCCCCGCGATCCTCCCCCCCTCTCCTCCCCCCCCTTCCCCCTCCCCCCTGCGTTTGACCCACCCAGTGCAACGTTTCGTGGCCCTATAGGGAGCTCCACCCAAGGTCCCAGTGGCGCAGTTCGCATGGCGCCGCCGCCTCATTTTGGCACGCGCTTCGTGGCCCCATAGGGAGCTCCACCTAAGGTCCCGGTGGCGCAGTTCGCATGGGGCCGCCGCCCGATTTTGGCACACCCAACGCACGTCTCGTGGCCCTACAGCGAGCTCCACCTAAGGTCCCAGTGGCGCAGTTCGCACGGCGCCGCCGCCCCATTTTGGCACGCCCCTTCACACGCTTCGCGACCCCAGAGACAGCTCCACCTAAGGTCGCAGTGGCGCAGTTCGCATGGCGCCGCCGCCCCATTTAGGCGCGCTTCGTGCCCCATAAGGAGCTCCAAGGTCCCAGCGGCGCAGTTCGCATGGCGCCGCCTCCCCATGCGGGCACGCCCCTCACACGTTTCGCGGCCCATAAGGGAGCTCCACCTAAGTCAGAGAGCGGCGAAGGGCGCAACCCGAGAACGGAGCGATGAAGAACACCTAGAATAGCAATGTCCCTCCGGAGAGCAAGGGGGGCCAAATTGAACCGATGAAGCGCGTCTTCGTCAGTTAGACTCAAAACTTGGAGAAAACGACGTCCCAGCGGCGCAGTTCGCATGGCGCCGCCGCCCCATTTTGGCACGCCCTTCGCACGATTCGCGGCCCCACAGGGAGCTCCACTCAAGGTCCCAGCGGCGCAGTTCGCATGGCGACGGGGCGAGGGAACGGCGCCAGTCTCTACGGCCAAAGCTTCTGGGCCTGAGCGGCCCGCAGCCGGACCTTCTCCCGGCCAGACCTCTCGGCGCGCCGGACAGCCGCCGGCTGCCCGGCGCGATCCGGCGCGCTGCCCCCTTGGCCGACATCACCCAGGCGTAATCCTGGACTGCGGCCGCCACGAGGTGGGGAACGGCAAGAAGGAGGACGACGATTGGCGGCCGGAGCTCCACGCGCTGCTCTCGCGCGCCACGCGCCACGAGGACCTCCTGCTCACGCGGGCGCCGCGCATCGAGTTCTTCCCGGCAGGGCCGCCGGATGGCTTGCGGAAGCAGGCATATTGAACCGCGCGCGAAGCGGTGCAGGAGGGGGCGGCGGCCCTCGCCAGGGAGCTGACCTTCACCGAGTTTATCTGCGAGGCTTGACCTGAGGAGCGGCCCGCCCGAGCCTCGCCGTCTCTCGACGGTCTGATTGTTTGGCCTCGCGCCGCGGGCGACCCGCGCGCGTCGCTGGGACCTTCTCGGGGCGACCAACGCGCGTCGCGGGAATTCCGCGCTGCGCTCTGCTCGCCCCCGTCGTCGCTCTGCCCAGCGGCCGCAGCCTTGCCCGCTATCAGCCAGCCAGCTAGCTCTTTCTGCTCCGCGCAGCGGACGACCCGCGCGCGTCGCCGGGACCCTTCTGGGGCGACCAACGCGCGTCGCGGGGACTCCGTGCGGCGCCGCGCCCGCCGCCTTGGACATGGGCGTGCGCGGGCGACGAGGGAGACATAGAATGGGAAAGAAGCGGGCGCGATCCTTGTAAGGAGCGTGCCGACATGGGCGTCGCGGCGCGCGGGCGCTGCTGTCGAGGTTCCAGGGGAAGCTTCTGCGGCGGCCACGCTCAGTGTCATGTGTAGCCAGGGTCAGGTATACTCGAACAATTCACATTCGAATATATATATATATATATACACATATATGTATATATATAATCACACACCAATCGTGGCCATGCTCGCATTCATGCAAATATATTCACTCGCGCGCACATTCATTCACAATCAGACTCACTCGCGCTCAGACTCACCCCCGCTCATTCTCTCGTAAATAGACCTATCGTCTTCGTTCGCGTTGTGTACCCCGCCGCGCAATCCGGCGCACTCCTCATACGGGTCATGGCCCCATAGGGAGCGCCACCGAAAACAAAATATTCACACTTGTGGTATTTACAACTGCATATGGTTGGGTATGTCGCCAAACTATTTTTTGTTGTCTCTCTCTCTATATATATACCTGTCTCTCTCTCACTATCACTTTGAATTTAGAGCGTGGGCTCACTTCATTCTCTCACGCATCGTCGAAACTTGTAGGCGCACGCTGTGCCAAGGAATGGTGCGGTTTGTTCTGAGAACAGAATGGTTCTATAGGCGACAGGGCTCGTGCTCGGACAGCCGGCCATTCCGCATGGCTCTCGCTGTTCTCCGCGTTAGCATAGCCAGCAGCATCCGCGTCACAACCCAGACATTTGGGCTTCATGAACAACAATCGCTAAGTCTTAAACTTGCGAGCGGAGTCATCGGCACCTTTCCTTAAGCTGCACATTTTACAGCCGGATCCGTCCATGAGGCTTTTGGGGCCCAGGAGAGGTAAAACCACCCGTCCTGATTTGCTCACGAATGCCCGAGGTCTGGACACGGTCATGCCCATCTTCGTCTCAACCATGGCCGTTCGACTGTGCCGCCCTTCTTTCAACCGTTCGGCAGCGCCGTCCTTTTGCACCCATGCCGTGCTGCTTCAAGCAGCCACGGAGGGATGTGCCAGCGCCAGTGCGTCCCGAGCGGAGAGTTGTTCGTTTCATCGTGAACGCAATCAGCACCTTCCCCCACCTCCTCGCCATCACCCCGGCAACGCGCAGAAGGAAGGCAGAGTCGGGGGGGGGAGGGGCGAGCTTCAATTCAGGAGGCGGCCCGCCGTTCGGAAAATGTGCGGCACGTCATTTCGAGGGGCCGACCCCGCTTCAGAAAGCCCCCCGCCATGATTTGGCCATTTCTGAGCTCGCCGCCAGCATCATCCCCCCCCCCCTTACTTCCCCCTCCACAATTACTCTATCTGAATACCGGTCTCCACTCTTTCCTGAATTTGGGTTTTTGTGGCCCTGCCTTTCGCGCATATTTATCACACAGGATCTCAAGCTCTGTATTCGACACCTCCACAACCGTCAGCACGTTAGTTACCAAAGAAACACTTTCCATATTTGTTGTAGCTGCTGACGTAATAAGAACACAGCGCGGTTTCGATGAGGTGTTCCATATTCTCGCCGCAGAGGCGTCCGCGACGATGACGCATAGGAGGGGGAAGAGGAGGAGGAGGAGGAGGAGGAGGAGGAGGTCGATGACGATGTTGATAGCCTCTCCCCTCGCCTATTCCATGTCCCATCCAAGATCTTCCCTGCAAATGCACCCTCGTCTCCCCAACCTTGCTCCCATCCATTTCCATTACAGGTCCCCCGTCTCCCTCCCCACCCATCCCCAGGGAAGGGGAGTTGGATAGGAGGGGAAATGTGGAAGGGGATGGGGCGGGCTTGCTCGATCCATCCCCCCTCCCTTCATCCACTCTTCTACCCTCCACTAACCCGTCCCGCTCCGTCCTCACTTCGTTTTTCTTTTCATCATGGTCTTACCTCCCTCCTCCTGTTCCTCTCCTTCCCCCCGTTTCTCCTTCGCCTCCACCTCAATGGCGCTAGCGGCGGCGCTCCACCTCTCCTCCTCCTTTTCCTCCTCCTCCTCCTCATTCGCACCCGAGGTCCCGACCCGTGTGGACGACGACAGCGAAGAGTCTCCAAGGGAGGAAGGCCCAGCCGCCGCGAGGGGGGTAAGATGGAGAAGCTGTTTTAGCAGCGTCCACGCGAGGGCTCTGCCAGGAAGCTAGGTTCGCGCCGCCTCGACGCGGCAGCGACGCCATCGGGGACGTTCAAGTTTGAACGCCCACAGAAGGCGGCCCACGGCGCGAAATACACGCGAAAGGTAAGGTCGATAGTTTCCAGGACCTCTGGGAGCTGAGATCATTCAAGGGTGAACGGTCCACGCGGTGCCAGAACCCAGGTGCATCCTATTCCGTCGTATCCACATGTCTACTTCCCGTGACATGAACCTTCCCAGTTTCTCTTTCCCTCCCTCTCCCCATCTCCTCCAATTTCTCTTCCTCTGTCCGTTCCTCTTCTACCCTCCGTCCCTCCCTCCTGACCACAATCCTCACATTCCCCCGTCTATGCCGACGGTGGTTGCAAGTTGCAGACATGACTCCGCATCATTGGCGTGGCATGTTCCATCCGTAACGGTTGATGTTGACGTGCATGTTGATGATAGTTTCGTGCTTGTGTTCGTCGCAGAAGCCGGCGTACGTTCCAGTTCTTGCGTAAGCGTTCTTGTTGTTGCAATGTGAGCGGGTGCGCAACCGTGGAGCCAACGTGAGTTTGCAAAGCCCGCGGTGGGGAGCAGCGCAGAAGTGTTGGAGCGGGGGGGGGCAGCGGGGAGGAGCGCGGACGACTGGGTAGGGGCGCGGAGGATCGAGGGGGGGATGGGGATGCGGAGGATCTGGGAGGAGCGCGGAGGAATGCGGAGGAGTTGGGAGGAGGATCCATATTGCTCCCTAATCATACCCACCCTTCAGCACGCCTCGACCGTCCGCATCAGTATAGAGCGGTGGGGGGGGGGGCGCTCAGAGGATCGCGTAGGAGCTGAGTCGGCGAGGGGTGGGGAGGATTGGGGAGCGGGGCAAAGGACGGCAATACATGCTTTTCAAGACATCTGTTCTGTATGGGGTTCGTTCGGAGTCTGGGCCGTATCATGTTTGGTGTAGTACAGTGTCTGTTGCCCGCACCTGTTTATGTACCTCGTCACGCTCCTGGTTGTCTCGGCTCGAAAAATATTTGGGGCTCCAGGGAGCTCAGAGCCTCGAGCCGCAGCATCAGCCTGCTTCCTCGCACCGTGTTGCCGACATGAGCGGCGGGTGGTCGTGGCGAGCCACGGCGCGCGGGTTGGCCCTCACCTAGGCTCATCATCATCATCATCATCATCATCATCATCATCATCATCATCATCATCATCATCGTCATCATCATCATCATCATCATCATCACCATCATCACGATCATCATCATCACCATCATCATTGTCATAATCATCATCATGAGCATCAGCATCAGCATCATCATCATCCAGGGTTTTCACTTCTTCAGCCCCGATGGCGACACGGGCCAACTGTTCAGCAGGTGCGGCGAGAGGACCGACACCGACGGCGGAGACATCGAGCACCGAGGAGGTTTTCGTAGGCACGGTATCCCCGAGGATCCCAATGGTTCCATGGGCTCGGTGGAACCACGCCTACACGAAGAATTTGTGCTACCAGCAGGGCCGGCAAACCACACCCCGGCATTTGGGCAGCGGCGGGCCACGCGAGCCGCATCCAGCTGATCGACGGGGGAAACAAGAGGTAGTGGCTGACCAAGGCCGCGGCGTGCGCGACGTGGTCATGATGCCGATGGCTTCCGCCCGAGGTTCAAAATGTGGTGGTGATTGGAAAAGGAAGCGACTGCGAGGCCCGTGGTCGAGAATAGAAGCGCGAAGCTGACGAAGGCACCGAAGGATGCGTCCAACCAGAAACAAGGAGCCCGCAGCAACTTCTCGACGCGACTGGCCAACGGCGGGTGAACCCACTGCCGACGCTAGGCCGAGCGCAGTGGCGCGGCCTGGGCGATGTCTCATCGGGTGGCGGCCTCGGACAGGTGAACAGCGACGACTTCGACCCCATGTTGGACGTGCAGGTGGCCGATTCAAACCACGAAGCCTACCCTCGCAGGCTCTTCGCGGAGCTGACGAACCAGATGCAGGGCGGCGGCGCCGCGGACGGTAGTGGCCCACCCATGACCATCCAGATCGGGCGCTCGCGGCATCGGTCGCGGCGCCCTGTCCGTCTTCTCCTCTCGACGTCATGTGATTCGAAGATCTCAGGGCTTGGCAGCCCAAACTTGCACCGTGAAAATTGATGCGTTTACAAGACACTTGTTCGGGACCTCCGCCCGACCCCACCTGCGGCTGGCCCCTCCTCCGTGAGCAGCTCAACGCAAGCACGCAATTGCAAGCCATGCTTTATGTGGGCGATCGCTCGGAGCTTGAGCCGTATGGTGCAATTGAATGTCTGTTTCTCGCACTTGCTTGTGTATCTTGGCATGCTCATTGTTTTCTGGGTTCCGACCCCCCCTCAACCTTTCCGAGAGTGCATCGCGAGTTCTTTTGTTTGATTGGGCGGGCACCGTGGCAGCGGCCACTGGCGCTGGCGGCACCAGTCGCAGAACATCTCAGGGCCTGGCGGCCTCAGCTTGCGTCGTGAAAATTGGTGCGCTTACGAGACCCTTGTTGGGGCCCCCCTTGACCCCGCTTGCGGTTGGCCCCTGACTCCGCGTGTTTTGGGGCTCCCCTGACGCCGATATCATGGAGTGCCGCAGTCCGCTCGCATTGCGACGTGCTTGGCCTTCATGCTCTCAAGCACTCTACTTCTCATCAGACAAGGTGCTCCTCTACACTTCTGCTTAAAAAGGAGACGTGGGTCGAGATGCTCGACGAGGCGCTCCAGGAGGACCCAGACCACGCGATCACGATGCTCAAGCGCAAGGCCAGCCGCTTCGGCGGCCGTCCGCGGCGTTCCCCACGGCCACCTCGGCGGCACTCGGCGCCTCCCGCCGGCGGCAGGGCCGACCCTGGACGGAGACGGCGTTAATGAACTACGTCACGGAGGTCCGCGTGAATGTGGAGTTCGGGGACGCAGACGCGAGTGCGCTCAAGCAGTTGATCACCCATGCCTGCTCTGCGTCAGGTCTGGACTTTCAGCCCGCGGATTCCGAGCAGGATCCGCGACCCGGGCAATGGGTACACCTCGATTCTCGGGATGCCGCTGCGCCCCCTGGCCGCGCTCGCCTATTTCTTCGTTCCGCTGACGTGGTTCGGAAGATGCTCAACGCACTGACGGGCCAGTTCCTCCAAGTAGGTGTCGACTATCTGGCCATCGCCGCGACCGAGGACCTCCGCGACTCCGAGCAGCTTTCGGGGAACAGGCGACGGGGGGGGCAGGGCGCGCCCCCCCCCCCCCCCCCCGCCTCGGCGTAGCGAGCGACGCCACGAATGCTTCGGGAAGTCGGATGTTCACCTACATGGGCTCCACCTTCTGGCTTGTGGACCTCGCCTTTGAGCTCCGCCTGGGTTCCCCTGGGCCGTGCTCTCCGTGCCGCGGCCAGCTCCGCAATGTGGAGTCTGCCACGTCGTCTCGTTCGGCTTCGTCCATTCCCCGAATTTCGTCCTGCCGGTTCTTGCCTCGTCTACCTCCTTTTCCACTTGACCAGCTTCATCTTCTGGACCAACGGTTTTTGGTTTCCACGCCAGGCGACTCGCGGGCAGATGTTCCGTACCAGATCCAGCTGCAGAACAAGATTCGCCATGCTTTCGGACATGGCGTGCAGCCAATTCTTTCGGCGTCTTCGGCGCCTCCTTGCCCGCGCCCCCCCGCGAGCCTCTGGCCTCGGCCTCCTCTTGAGGACAGCCCTTGCCTTGGTAAGTTTTCGGCCGCCACGTGGGATTGTCAAGCCTTATTGAATCGCTTCGCTCATTCCGCCGGCCCGTGATATGGCATCGCTGGTTTTTGTCTGTGTGTTCGTTGCCCATGTTGCGCTCTTGGGGGCGGGTGTCGTTCGGACGCGTTGCGTGGGGAGTTTTGATGGTGAAGCAGTTCCCTGGGGGTCGTCTCTCGATGGGGCGAAATAGAGTCGTCGTCAAGATGCTTCTTTGGGGGGCCTCTTGGGGTCTGTTGAGAGGCCGTTCGGGGGCGCCTGGGAGACATGTTTGAAGCCTTCTGGGGCTTCTTTTGGGCCTCCTGGGAGTCTCCTGGGGCCTCTTGGCGACATCTTGGGGCCTCTTGGAGGCCTCTTGGGGCCTCTTTGGGACCTCCTGGGCGCCTTCTGGGACGGAGGGCTCCATTTTTGAGTTCTCGGTATCCCTCCTGAGTCCCTCTTGGGCCCGTCTTGGGGCCTCTTGGTCCGTCTTGGGCGGCACTTGGGCCGTCTTGAGGGCTCTCTTGGGTCGTTTCGGCGCCGTCTTGGGAGCTTCGTGGGCCGTCTTGGAGCGGTCTTGGGGGCCTCTTGGGCCGTCTTGGAGCGTCCGGAAGCCGAAAAAGCCAGAACACAAAAAACATCGAAAAAACAAATGAAAATCAACGATTTTGGCCTCTTGGGGCTCTCTTCGGAGGCCTCTTGGAAGGCTCTTGGGGCGTCTTGGAGGCCTCTTGGGCTGTCTTGGGGGCCTTTTGGGCCGTCTTGGGGTCATCTTCGGCGTCTTCGAGCGCTCTTTGGGCGTCTCGGGGGCCTCTTGGGCAGTCTTGGGGGCCTCTTGGGGCACTCTGAGCGCGCTCTGGGGAGCCTGAGAGGCCGCACCCAGAAGGAAAACCATCTCTGAGTAGACTTGGTCGGGCGGCGGTCGGGCGGCGGTCGGGCGGCGGTCGGGCGTTGGTCGGGGTACTTTTCGCCGGGGGACCCCCAGGGGCCGCCCCGCGCGCGCGAACTAGAAATACTGTTAATACTGTTGACCAGTTACCGGAGATCTTAGCACGCCCTGGCCCGTTGGGCCGGCGAATTTGCTACGGATCCCGGTCGTCACCGAACGAAGTCTCGGTGCGCTCGCAAGCTCAGGGCCGCCCGCGACATCGGTCTCTGCACAGAGACGCACGACACCGCTGGGGGGAACGCAGTTTGGCGCAAACCCGCGGAGTGCACTTCCTGGTGGGCCCCCAGCGCTACCCCTGGCAGTA